TTTCTCCAAACACGAAATTGAAGACACCAGAGAGAACAACCGAAAAGGTTCTCTTTCTCAAAAAAGCCCCAAAACAAATTCTAAAGAATTCGTAACGGTTGACAAAATTCAAATAATCATCTTTTACTGAAACGCACCGTTTTGTATAATTCAAATTTTTAATCCCAATGACCAAAACCAGTTTCGAAACGTAACAACCGAAACTTTCTCCTAATTTTATTATTAGTTTCTTTTATTCTTGTTGACTGAATATATATATATATATATATATATATATATATTCAATTCAGAATTCGTGTAGCCATCCAAATGTATGAAACAAATAAACGGTGGGAGTATTAAGTAACATGTTTATAATAAACTGTCTATTTATTTATTTGATGTACATATGGATGTTTAAACTATCTCTTATTAGAATGGTTTTTTGTACGAATAATCTCAAATGGAGTTTAAGATATTGAATTGTTATAATTATGAAATTTATACGATGAATACATGTTATTCGCAAATGGTGAGATATGTATCCCATTTTTAATAAAAGGAAAGTTTGAAAAACGCGTGCAATCAATGTATAGCTTAATTTATGTGATTTAAAGTTAGGAATCCAATTATGTAATAGAGTTAATCCCCTAAGATATTGAACAACAGTGCAGCATTAGATCCCAAAGATAGCAAGGTCTTTTCATTCTTACGAAGGAAGATATTTTTCAAAGATTCTATATCAATTTATATATGAAACCGAAATAATTACCTAATAACTATTGGCTCGGCGTAATTTGGCCTTGTTGGTACATTGAAGCGCCTTTTCTGCATTAGGTAATACCAATCCGCCCTAGAGATCCACTTGACACCTATTGTAATGATAAAAGGGTGGTGCCAAAACTCAAAATGACTAAACATCAGTTCCAAAGCCCACAACTAGGAAAGAAAATAGAGTAACCCACGTACACCAACTTTATACTTTATACAGCGCAACTCATAATAGTATTATTGATATTACGGTCAGGTATTTTTTTTTTTTTATTATTTGTAACTCATATGGGTAATGAGTTTAATATAAATCATGGTTGACTAATTGTGTGATTTTTAGTGTAAATATCGCTGTATAAAAAGAAAATATGACAATGATACAAGCCAAAGTTATTTTCAACGTAGGCCTCCAAAATAGCCAAAAGCATTCCAGGTAAATAAAAGTGTTTTTCATATTGTTCGTCATAAAAAGTTAAAAGAATTTTTGGGCCACCAGGGCAAGACACACTTGCATTTATAATGGTGGAGACTCTCTTAAAAGTAGAATTTTCATGGATTTTTGGTCACTTCATATTTTGTGTACATTATTTTATAATGTTGGTACGAAAATTAACTTTGAATTGTGAGGTGGCAGGGAGTTCATAAAAAGTCTCACTTTGAGAAAGTCTCATTAGCATTTCTCTTAAGAAAATATATGCATCCCCCATTCAGAGAATGCATTTATCTTACCTGTTGTGAATATTGTATCTTCACTAGATAAATTTTATATAACTTCTATTTATTTAAAAATCATCACAAATTTCAAACACGATATCATTTAATGATCCAAATGTATGGAACAAATGGACAGTTTGAGTATCAAGTAAATTTTTCATGATGAACTATTCATTTATTTAATATATTTGAATGACTAAATGATTTGTAATTCTTTTTTTTTTTATGAGGAATGATCTTCAAATAAAAATTAAGAAATTAAATGGTTCCGATTATGGAATATATACTGTCAAGATACATTATTCGCAAAACGGTAAGATATGCGCATTCGTCCCATTAGAGTTGACAGTATTATTCCATGTTTAATAAAAATTTTGACATACTTCTAATAAAAGTAATTCCAACTAAAGTGTTAGCAAGTACTTTTTACAAAAGCACTCTTAAACATGCCTTAACGTACACGGTGGCCCTTAAACATATGGGTGAAGTGTGATTAAGGAAGGTGTATCTAATTGATACAGTAAAGAATTTTGAGGGAATTTTAAATTCATGGATTTTGAGACAGTTTGTGAGATTTTAATGGACTGTCATAATTTTTTTAATGGCCTATTTAATAGACATTTTCACTAATTCAAATTTTCAATATTCGAAATAGTGGTGGATCATCATGTGTGATGTTGGTGGGGGATGGAGGCTGCAAAGGTGGTGGCATGGTGGTGGAAAGGATGGTGGTGTAAGTGATGGTGGTGATGATCATGACAAGGTGGTGTGGCGGTTATAATTGTGGCGGGGGTTATGGTATAGTGGAGAGGGCTTTGGTAGTAGTGGTGATGGTTGTGAAGGTAGTGGTAGTGGCGGCAATGTTGGTGGGGTGGTAGAAGTGGTGGATTGTATCATGTGAATATTAAAAGAAAAATTTATCAAAATCTTTGGGAGAGAGGAGAAATTTTGGGTTAAAATACATTATAAAATTCCTCTTTGAAATCCTTTAGGATAAAAGGTTTTTCCTAATACTACTAGACTTTTATAAAAACACAAATTTACTTCCCCTTCCCTAAATTGTTGTAATAATTTTGAATCATCTCCCCTCCTCTTAATAATAATAAATTTTTTAATAAAAAAAAAACTAGCATTTGACGAGTTTACCTCCACCATGGCATCCCGGTCCAATAATACATTGTTATGTAGGGAAAATTTTACACACAACAATGCATTATTGGAGAGGGATGTCATGTGGCAATGTACTCGTTCCATATGAGTACAACTTATACACCTGAATATTTGTGGACATTTATAAACTCATTTAAATTCTGCATGTATACACCTAAATTTACATATATTCTCTTAAAATCTTGAATGAATAACTAAATTTTTTTTTTAATTACTTCAAACTAAATACACCTAAAAGCATTATGAAGCGAGATGTAGTGCATATATGTTTACTATCTTCTTCCCGGAATGTGTCTACAACAACCCTGACTTTTGATTTTGCCTTCATCTACTATCATTACTTCAAATGGTTTGGTTGTTTGTAAAGACCACCCCAATTTCTTAGTGAACCTAGAATCAATAAAGTTGTGGGTACTACCTGAGTTGAGGAGGATTTGCACGGGTTGGCCCTTAACACTACCCAAAACCTTTATAGTTTGTAGGAAGCGCTTAGCATTCATGCCATAAAATGCACATTCACTCAGTGCCATTCCTTGCAACTCAGCATGCACAGCCTCGTCATTCTCCTCACACAATTCCCCATCATCACACACATCCAACAAAAGCAACTGTTTATGTGTGCATTTATGCCCCATTACCCATTTCTCAGGGCAAAACCAACATTCCCCCCGGTCTTTCTTTCTCTGTACTTCCTCAGCAGTGAGCTTACAATATGGTAAATTGGTAGTTTTAGGTCGAGGTGGCATAATGGGCAGTGGAGTGACCTTAGGTGCAGGAAGAGTTCTAAGATTGTGGCTACGCAACGTAGAAAGTTTAGCATCAACCTAAACAATTATAGAGATTGCATCATGAACGGACGCAGGCCTCAATAATTTGACATCATAAACCAATTCCTTTTTAAACCCCCAAGGAAACAACTCTTGAGGAGAGCAGGACCAACACCGAAAGCACGATTGGCAAGCCAAAGAAATTCAGTCACATATTCCTTCAGAGTACCAGTTTGGCGCAACTTAAATAATGACTCAGTACAATCCTCGAACTTAGAGGGTCCAAACTCCCTACAAAGTGCACTGGTAAATTCCTCCTAAGTAGGAGTAATGAGTAAGAGATTACGCCATTTGAACCACTGCATCACCTCATTTTCCAAGTAAAAGGAGCCTGTAAAGACCTTTTGTGGATCTGGAGTGTTGTAACAAGCAAAATATTGCTCAGCCTTGTAGATCCAAGTGATAGGATCATCACCATCGAAAAATCGGGGAAAATCCACCCGTTGCTGCCACGGAAGTTTAGGCGGCCCGCCCCCTGGCTCAAATTGATCATGACGAAGGTGTCTAGGAGTCTCCAACAGACGGAAATCAATATCATCCGTGACTAGAACTAGAGGTGGGATAGGATCGACGACGAAGGAAGCTGGATTGGAAGATCCAACACCACCGACAAAGGACTGTTCACGCCGGAATTGCTCAAAAGAGAAAGCTAACTTAGCATTGAAGTTAGTAGATATCGCGGCGACGATGGAGTTTCGAAGGAGGTTGGGGAGGTCCGCCAAGGTAGCTTCAACGGCAGTGAGACATGCATCCATGGTTGTTAAACGAGTCGTCGGAGCGTGACAGGGCATACAAGAGGGAATCGAGGATCGAGCAGGATGATACCAATTGTTATGATCCAAACTCAAAACCTTAACTCATACATGCAAGTATATGACAATGGCGGATGGAGGAATACAGAGAAGAGCTAGAGAAGTAGAAAGAAGAGTATTTTTTTCAATATATTTCTTTTATGAATATTCATACCCTTTTCCCTTTCACAAGTGACTACATATATGGTTCCCCAAAACTCTCAAAACCAGCTGGCATAACTAATTACAAAACAACTTAATCAAAAGGCTTATTTAATTGCTAAACTATGATTAAGATAATCATAGATATAACAAAGGGGTGGGGGGAAGCTGGTGAGGAGCTGGGTTTGGGATTTTTTTTTTTTTTTTTTTTTTTTGGGGGGGGGGAAGATGGCACCGGAGCTTTTCGTTTTTTGGGGGTTTTTTTTTTTTGTTATTTTATATTTTTAATAAATTTGTTAATTATTTATTTTGCTACTGTTTTCGTGTAGCTAATTGAATTTTATGAGCATATGTGGTTATCAAAATTAACCATTAACTAGCATTAATCAATAATCAAATAGGTTTCAATTGCGATTTATGTGAGTTAGTAAACAACTTTTATGTAATCAACACCATTTTTACTCCGATTCCAGATAATTTAGTAAACAGCTTCATCATGAATCCAATTCTGAATGTACTCCATTTCATCTCCTCCTCAATTCAATTCCTCATACTCTGATTACGGATTAATAAACGAGCCATAAGATCAGTGTCAAAGGAACCAAAGAATTCATCACACCATATTCCAAGGCCCACCACAATAACAAAAGGTAAAACTAGATAGATACAAACAGGCTCTCATGTTGTCCATGTAGAAGCCTTCTTTTGAATTCCCGGTATCCTATATTCGTATTTGCTAGTTCTAATCACGCTTCATTTCAAAAGTTTAATACAAGGACTGAGATAATTGAACAAATAATTGTAATTGACAGACAGTCATCAAATAACACGGGCACAATCACCGGTCTCGCATATCATAACTGCTGTGTCTTGGTTTAACTGACTAGCCAACTCAGGATGGACCTTGCTGTACTCTTCCCTGACAAATGATGCAGCTTCTTTGGCATGATCAGTATCTACAAGTGCAACACAACAACCCCTAAATCCAGCACCACTGAACCGTGCTCCATACACACCAGGAGCCCTTAGAAGGATCTCACGCAATTGTATCAGCGGTTCAGATCCTTAAACAATTACAACATCAAGTTAAAACCCCCTTGACCAAGTTACAAAATCCATTTCTTAAATTTGGCTAGCATTTGAGGTCAAATTTCAACATAATCGAGAAAAATTCATGAATTTTGCAGAGCAAGTTGAAAATGAAGCAACCGGTGGTAACATTTCAGATGCAAAAGATCGCAAAGCTAGCAAAGAAACAGCATTGTCAAAGCAGCGTAGCCCATTTCTAATGGTGATTTATATGGAAAAAATACCAGATAATCAGTTAAATGTGCATGTTAGTACAGATACCATCAGAAGCAAATCACCATGATCCTCTACTTTCATGGGCAGACAAGAGTTCAAGGATCAAAAGAAAATCAGTCAAATGATAAGGGTAATTAAATATAGTCCCGGTGCTGCCCAAACAGCAATATAAAACTAGGTTGTTTTAAGGCCATCATTGGTACTAGTGATTTGCCTTGACGATGCTTCATTCCTTTAATGATTTCAATTGGATATCCCTATCATTTTCTGTGCACTGTGATTAGGAATATTAAGGAGGATGCTTAAGAAAACAAACCAGTAGCTATGAACCAAGGAGAGTAATTAATACCGCATTCATAGTTCTCAATAGAACTTAGGCCAGATTCTGAAATGAGCATTCCAAAATCTTTGAACCTGCCTGAAGCCCAAGCTTTGAGTCCTGGAAAAAATCACAGTATGTTAAGTAGTTATAAATCATAAAGCAAAGAATAACATAGAAACTAAAAAGACATCATACTTTTGAAATTTAGATTATTGACCATGTAGATATGGTAATACCTTTGCTAACCCGCATATTCTCTGAGAAATAATGCTCTGCTCTCTTTGCTAGAGTAGGTTCTAATATGTGCTGCAAGAGAGTTATGGATAAGTCATCACGCCCTTGTATTTACATGCCGACCATTGAAATGTTAACGTGCGCATACAAATATTATTTTCTATTTATTCTTTGTTCATTTTTCTTTCATTAAATAATATATACTATTGTTAATGGCCAGCCAAACCTTTTCCTAATAACAGCATTTCAAAAGAATCAAAACAACATACAATGACAAATGGTCAGGTGTTGTAGACAAAGTTTCTTACCTTGTGAGTTTGATAAACTTCTGGGTCAACTGTTTGTAGGAGGAAAAAGGCAGTCGATCAATATCATTTTTCAAAAAATAGGAATGGATATTAAACTTGAGAAGGTGAGGTAAAGGTACTAGCCATTGGATAGGAGTGGCTCTGCTGCACCATCTCCGGATGCACTGGTTAAAGGACAAAAAAGTATGTCAGCCAGGGATCAATAGTCTGAAAGAGGAAGACAAATATGGAGTTGGATATCGCATTTAACAATAAGATGGAGTTGCATGAAAAATAAATGGATGATGGCATATGGATTCAACGCCAAACCACCGCCAACCAAAAATGACTAAAAGAAAAACATCATGGTCAAGATACTTGATTAAAATCAAGAAGGGTAAATTTGTTATCGGTTACAAGGGAAATGGATCTTACTTCAAAAGGACTGTTGCAGCTTCTTGACACTCTGCAACTCGGTGATTATATCCAGGATTTACGGTCAAATTATGCTTCAACCCTGAAAATGCCAATAATATTTTGTATGCTTCCTGCCACTCAGTATCGTGGTTCTCCCCCAGTTTTGGTGGGTGTATAAGATTATGTTCTTTAGTCTGCACATGCAATCTACATTGTGAGACACCGTGTTGCTAATACTCAAAATTAGAGCAGAATCTGATATATGTGGTTATAAACGGAAATAGATCAAGAAAATGAATAAGACGTATCAGATTACAATCTGTAGTATAGCAAAAGCAAAAACTTAAAAATAAAATTAAAAAAAGATTGCTTAAAAATAAAAGCACCCTACGGATAAGAACGGTACTATGCTTTGAGGTGCAGACAAATTCCCCCTTATAGTAATCTAAGTCTTAAGTGTTACTTTGTTTCAAAGTTCATATGGTTGAAGTTATAATAATAAGCTTACAGCTTTCCTTGGTACAATCTTTAGTTTCAAAGGAATCAGAAAGATTATATCACATTGAGAGTCCATCCATTTATAATCACAAATTAAACTTCTAACTCTGAAATCATATGCTTAGCCCTTTTATGTATAATATTAAAAATCGTTCAATCTATAAGAGTTAGTGTAATCTGAATCAGGCACAAGCAAATCTTTCTGGACGATCATTACAAAACAGCAGCCAGAATGTAACTTTTATAAGAAATCACCCATATATTCAAAATGCTAAAAGATTCAGTAATAGAAATCATGAAGATGACTGGATCATTCAAATTAGTGTAATTTAACAAATATACAGACTGCACTTGAAATGAATCCAGTAAATAGAATTTTTTTTATTAAAACATAAAACACAATTTTCACGCACTACCTTGCAGTTCATGCACAATAGACAACCATAGCTCGAAAGCAATATGGCTGATTGATCCAATATACCATTTCGTAAGCCCCAATATTCATTTTCAATCAGCCTACAATAACCAAAGTTCATTAAAAGGTTTGATATGGCAAAAGAAATATAGAAAAAGGGTACTTGTAAAGTTCTCTATTACTTTAAGTTGAGGACTGGATATATAAATCACTTGGAATCATAAACTAAATGTTAAAGAAAAAGGGAAGTTTTTTTAAATTTTTGTTAAAGAAACGAAACTTTTTCATAAAGAGAAGACAGTATAGATCGATTTCTGAATGCTGGGCGTTAAAGAAGGAGGACAAGCGAAATCAGTTGGAATCATAAACTAAATGTTAGAAGCAGTGTGGTAAACCAACAAATTGTTATGCAAAGAAGGTGATTCTCATTGCAAGTGCCTGTAATGTAACCTCCCAATAATGTCAGTTTGACGTGCTGGACCCTCTAGTACTAGAGAGAGGACTTCCTGTAAGGGGGGGTTTGTGTGTCGAAGTATAAACTAATTGTTGGTCCAAGTGTTGGACCCTCAAATGCTAAAGAAACCTACCGATCATACTCAATATTTTCTTCAGGAGACACTGTTAAATTGTTTGCAGTTTCCAAAGCCAGTAGGTAAGCTACACCGACCTGTCAAACATGTAAATGCAAGATTAACGGGTTGGATGTAGTGACTCTCCAAAATAAAGAAATGAAGCCCCACAAGATGAATACTACAAAAACAGTCTTTAATCAAGATCATTCTTCTGATAAAAATAACGGATGTGTGGCATATTAGTTCGTTTTACTTCAAAGTTCACTTCAATTCAAATTGTAAACTGATTCCAAACACCAACATTAAGTCTCAACTGATGCAGTCGTTGAATATAGCATGCCATATTTCTTAACTATAACCTAGCTCCAGTGTCCAAAAATAATGGTAGCTACTATTGGGATGGAATATCTACTAAATAGCTATCCTTTAATGTGAAAACTCATCCTTTTGGACAAACACGTCTACAGCTCTGCTTCATAGTTTCTTACATTCATATAAGTTTAGAAGTGTGCAATTGTACGAATGCAAAACTGGTTAACGTGTGGGTTTTTGGTTTGTGTTTGAATTTCTTTGCATGAAAGATATAATCAGTCAACTACGTTTGACCTCTTATATATAGGACTTATTTACTACTTTTGTCACCCATAAAGCAATATGAAATACATAATTCTTCTTTTTACACCAGCAAATATTCGAAAGAGAAAGATGCAAACCTAGTCCAAGGAAGGTATACAACACAAAATCCTGGAAACAATCAATCAAAATCTTTAGGTTTTACAAAGAATAACACATGGCACTTCCTGACACAACTCATATTTTTATGGCGTCTTAGTCGTAATGGGAATATTTTGTATACAATCATCTTTCATTGTCATGATTTAACAACAAAGGAAATCAACAAGGAAGACAACTTACAGCGGCAGAAGAGCTAAGGCCTGAACTGTCCATACCATCAGGACCACTTATATATCCGATGATACCCTACAACATGTGAAACAAATGATAACTATTTAATGAAAGATTTGTATGAATCATCAGACAAAGTATCATATGCAAAGAAAAATGCCACTCAAATAGTTGGTACCCAGGTTTTGCACACGAATCTTCAAGATGGATGGTTGTTAACTAATAAGCCTAACACCAAGTTTGTAATAAATTGAAGTCATGGATGGAAAAATGGAAGAAAAGTCTGTGGATGGTGGACGTGAATATTTCTTCGTAGCCAATTCATAATTATGCTTGAGGCAACATGGACAGTGCAACATCAAGAAGCAATCAAGATGTTTATTTGCACAGGATGTGGTGCTGCCTAAGATACCATAAATTTAGTTGTAATTCTTTAAGGTAGACCATCCCGAAATTGTACACCTTGTAAAGCCCAGATGGAGATAAAAGCTACCATGTTGAGGGCCCTTTGTCCAAGTTTGCTCATTGTTTATGTCCAACCAAGACATTTTAACAGGCAATGGTAGAACGGCAAATAGTATGTCTCAAAGAAAGGAATAGCAAAAGCTAGCTTAGGCAACCCCAAGTAGCATAACAGTTAGGTGCCAGAAAGAGCTGGCATCCTCTAGAGATCTGTTACATACTTGCTATACATTTATAATCATGTTTTTCAAATGTATGCAATCTCCCCAACTAACTAATCCAAGATATATAAAAGATATGATCATAAATCATACATCTGGAGCAAATCAAATGAATGTAACTGGAGGCAACCTTCCATTTATGAGGTTCCCAGTGCCTTGATACCAAATGGCTTACTTGAGTATCACTCAATTCATATCACTGAACACAAGCTACGAAATTGGCCATAGTTCTAAACTGTGCGCAAAAGTGCTCAGAAATGCCTGCATTAAAACTAATCTTGTGACTTTGTCAATTCCTGAAAATGTATACCGTGTCGAGCCCAGAAGGAGATAAAAGTGACCATATACTGAGGACCCTTTTGTCAAATTCTGCTACCCAACTGGCATATTTTTAACGTGCAAGGGTAGAAAGGTAAATCAAACAGAGGGGTGCGTCTTAAGAAGTTAAAGAAAGGAACAGCAACAGTAGCTTAAGGAGAGAGTTAGGCGACCCGAAGTAGCATGACAGTTAGGTGTTTGAATGAGCTGGCTTCACATACTTGCTTCAGAAACGATAGGGCCATAAATCATAAATCTGGAGCAAATCAAAATAATGTAACCGGAAAGAATCTTCTATGCATGGTCTGCCCAGTGCCTTGATACTCAAATGACCTACTTGATATTCAATTTAAGACAACTGAAAGCAAACTATGGAGTTCTGCCATAGTTATTCTTTTACCATAAGAAACCAAAACAGAGGTGAAAAAAATGCTCCCATGGGCCAATCAAGAAGTGCAGAGAAATAATATGTTCAGCAAATCAAAATAGTAATAAATAATTCAACTAATCAGAAGAAAAAAAAAAAAAAAAAAGAGAGGTCATTAAAGAATTATCTCTAACCTGGGCAAGGGAGATTTGTCTACTCTGTAATGCATATAAGGCTCCTTTTGCATAACTTCCCCAATTGCTTTCCTCATCTGTTTTGGAAGCAACAGTTGCACTCTTCCAAGGGAATTGAACTTCATCAACTCTATAAAAGCAACAGGAAATAATCAAGTTCACCAAATGCCACATGATTACAGATTGTAATCCAAGTAAGCTAAGGACTTACCATTTGAAGAAAGTTCATATAGAAATAGGAATACTCAAGAGACATAGATCAGTTGTTAAATCTATATCTTACTGAAGTAGATTCCTGTCAACTTCAGTAAAGTTACAATTAATAAAATACAAAAATCGTCTGCCTTTTCTTTCAGTGTTCACTTCCACAGAGCAGTGAATTATGTCTTCCTTTTCTTATCTATTTTGCATCTTGAATTCTTTCCTTCAATTAATTCCCTGAAACCCAAACTTGAAAAATTCTAACACCAAACGCTGCCCAGAATTCTCAGTTCTTTACATCAATCGGCACATCATGCTCTACGTACTTACCTAATCATTTATCATTTAACCCTAATTTTTCTGCAATTTACCATTTCATATGTGCCACTTTAGGTTGTTGTATCTGGAAACTTGAACTAACTGCTCTTGTTTCCTTTTGGGAAAAAAAACCCTGAACTTTGAGAATATAGTACTGGAGTAAATACATAAACGATCAGGCAAGAAAACAGGGTATCAGCACTGCTTTCTACAGGGACACCTCACTCTTAGATATTTTCTGTTATGTAACAGCTGTAAATTAGTTACATGTGTTTTGTTGTTAATCACAATGTTAGTGGATAATCTGGTGTCATTAGTTACTAAGCTTATTTAGCAAAGTGTATATAAAACCTCCTGTATTACTTCCTGATTAAGAAATGAAATACAGAAAGCATTCTTTCTATCTTGGTGTCAGAGCCAGGTTTTCAACATATACTTTAAAATTGACAAATACAGAGAAAACCTCAGATTTTTCCTTCAGAGGAAACAACCAAGTGTATTTAGTAAACTCATCTACAAAGAGCACATAGTATTTGTAGCCACTAACAGAGAGCACTGGAGCTGGCCCCCAAACATCACAGTGAATCAACTCAAGACTGGCAAATACAACACTAGTACTAGAAGAAAAGGGTAACTTGTGATGTTTGCCTATGGCACAATCTGTGCAAAAGAAATTTACAGACTTGTCACCACTGTGAGCAAGTGAACCTTTATTTAAAATCTTCCTAAACATTGCTATAGAAGGATGCCCAAGCCTCCTATGCCATGTCTGAAGTGTAGCTTTAGTACTGAAAAAGGCTGAGTGTGCAGAAGTGGAGGGAATGCCTTGGAGAGGATAGAAACCTTCTCTAACTGGTGGATTTCCTCGCAATAACAACTATTCTGGTGGTAAAAATCCTTGCCAAATCTGTCATTCCTTTGAGCTTGAAGCTATTGATTTTTATGAAAGGATGAATCACGCTTTTGCTGGTAAAATACCTCCTGCCAAATTAGCTGTTACGTGTGTGCATACCAATTCCAAAGTTACCTTCCCACTTCGACAGGTACCCCAACGTTGGTGTGACAATGTCTCTACCATTTCTTTGGCATCCAATCCCCTGTTTCATGCTTGAACGAAACATGTGGAGATTGATTACCATTATATAAGAGAACTTGTCTTAGCTAATCTGATTCAAGTTCAACATGTCAGTACTCATCATCAAATTGCAGATATTCACACCAAGGCACTTTCCAAGGCCAGATTCAAGTTGTTACAGTCCAAGCTTTCTCTCGGGTCTCCTCCGTTTAGCTTGAGGGAGGGTAAAGGGACACCTCACTCTTACATATTTTCTGTTATGTAACAGCTGTAAATTAGTTACATGTGTTTTGTTGTTAATCACAATGTTAGTGGTTAATCTGGTGTCATTAGTTACTAAGCTTATTTAGCAATGTGTATATAAACCCTCCTGTATTACTTCCTGATTAAGAAATGAAATACAGAAAGCATTCTTTCTATCTCTTTCCTCATCCATGACTCGACTCATTAGTGTCATAGGGGTCACCCTTTTCAAACAACCAAAGCCTACCTAAGGGTCCAAGCTTCTCCACATTTGTAAAACTACAGGCTCCTCAACTCAATTCCTTGCTAAGTGTTTGACAAGGCCTTGATGCCAACAGTTACAACATGTCCATCATGCACATAAACTTTTACCCGACCAAACCTTTTCAAGGCAACACTAATTCAATATCTTTATTGCATATAACCCAGTCATATGACCCCCAGTATCATCAGTGAGGTATATTACTGCATGATATATACATTCAGCCTTCCACACATGTGATGATTCAATCACTAGTATTTTTAAGGTGCAGCATTGTAACGGGTATATTTTTCTTTCAGCCATATTGTGTATAGTTTTGTTTCTGACAGAAACCTTTCAATTGACATTTGGCATTAGGAGAAGCAAACAGTTAATTGAATAGAAATTTCGTGCTTGATATGTACAAATCCTACACACTGCAAGTTTATGGTTTTATAAATTATTGAATAGAAATTTCTAACTAGACAGTCCTGGAAAACTGAATTTTCTTTTTTTTAATCAAAACTAGCAAAAGTTTACCCTCTCTTTTTAGGAATAACAGTTTTTGCTCAAAATTCTGAAGACCGCCTAAATTGAGTGCATAGGACGCCCCATACTGAAGGCCTATACACCCAACCGAAGGCCTATGCACCAAAATGAAGGCCGTAACACGTAATATTTGGCTATTCTTTAGTAAATTTAAAAACTGTTATTTTCTAAAAGGTGTAGATGTTTGCTAATTTTGATAAAACTTTAGAACTCGGTAAGCATGCTTTTGAAATAAATAAATGAAAGAATGCATAAAATTTAGAAATACCATGAGAAAAGACCCACACCTGAACCTACATTCACCTTTAAACTGTCCTGAACGCAGTATAACCTACAGCAAGAGTTCAATGGCTCAGCAGGCAGATGACAGTGGAAATAACAATCAAGAACAATTATGAGGGAAACTAACTTAAATGTTTAACTTTCATGGTTTAGTTTATAAGTTTCTGTAGTATAAGTTTTCAATCAATGCCTCATATATCCAAAACATTCGCAGAATTTTGAGATTTCGTTCTTCATGACAAACAATGATTCAGCTTCGGGTCTGAGCAAACAAATTCATGCTATGATGAGATACTCTATGAATCATTCATAGTCCCAAAGGATTCTAAAAGCTTTAGGAATGTATGCACAAATAGAACCTTTTACAAATCTGCAATCGCAAATGGAACTTTTTCACTCAAGGACCAGTAAACGGGTAATAAAACACGTTTTATGACCCCTTAGTGCTCCTTTATTGTCTGTTAGTGTCCCTTCATGACAAAGTTCTATCTTTCTATTGAAAATTTGTAAAAGGTTCTATTTGTCCATATTTCCTAAAATTTTAAGATTATGTTTTCTGATGTGACTGCATCTTAATTAAGTTACATTCCTAGAAATTACATGTCTTCTTAAAAGTTTCTTTATTCTTGGTTTTTCTATAACAGTGAAAAGAAAAACCATTGAACAGAGCTCTTTGCTTTGAAAGAAAATGATTAGTTGAACTCGCGCTATTACTTGTTGCTTGGATTCATGTTCTATAGTAAACACAATGTAAAGTAAAAACAACTAACACCAGAACTGGATCTCTAGTCTCGTAAGGTTAAAAATAGTATATTCTGTGTTTACCTGAGTATCACCAGAAGGAACAAAACCTAAAAGTATCCCCTTGTTAATTGCCATAGCTGATACAGTCCCGCCCTGCAACCATTTAAAATAAATGGATATACTTTTTTCGTGTTATCCAAAAGTAAATTTAATGAACACAATAAAGTATGGTATCTCACAGACAGCTTGATAAATTAAGCAATCAACTATAACAAGCGCAATTGTTACATATGATTCTATGAACAGAGACTTGGTAATCACAAGGTAATGAATAACAAAGCCTATGGACACAAATTATTCTTTTATATGAAAAAAAAAGTCAATTTTGAAATCCTACTGAAAACGAGAGCATCAAAGGTCGACAAGCACATAATGAAAAAAGAGCTACCTAACACTAACCTGATGATCAATATGAGCTCCCAATGGACAAATCCGATAAGGAGAAACAACAACCCGAACTTCTTTCCTACCTGTCCCAGCCATTTCTGAAACTATCTGTCTAAGTCCATTTAACTGTAGCATACAAAAGAACATGTACATTAATATCATTACCATACAAAATAACATTAACGATCACGGAAACATTGCAAAATGATAATACAGAGGCCAAAGATGCAATCCAAAGAATTCCACCCACAGTGAAGAACAATTCCAAGGCAAAGTCTAATAAGCATTCAAAAAATTGGTCCATGCTTTTAAATGACCAATGCCAACCCAATTCTTGCTTCGAAAAGCTAGAATATTTCAGCTAACCAGTCGTTATGTATCAGATTGGACACAATTAAACAAGCGACTTCAATTCAATAAACCAAATGCTCCAATTTTATGAGTTAAGCAAAGCAGTGAGCTAAGCAATATTACTACTATAAGCCATGCTAAGGTTTGAACCCGAAACAGGGTTGACGAGGAACACCAATCCACCACTCCGCAAAGCGGTCAGCTTTAAGTTTTTACGGTTGCCATTGTGTTTTTTCCGTAAAAGATGACAACAACGCTGGCTGCTTCCTCCCAAAAAACTAGAATGTGGATAAAAAATGCATGAACCCTAATGAAATCATAGAGGATCAAAGAGTACCTGAGTTTCAGAAGGCCAAGACGATCCAGCCATCTTCACAAATGATCTCTCAGAACTGAGCAATCCAATCCAATCGACCCTTAAAATGCAAATGCAGGATCGGTTTATGGTGCAGATTTAGCATAAGATATTTTTGGATCTCAGGGTGGGGCAGAGACCAGAGATTATGTGAAATTCAAGGAAAATCATTGTTGGACAGACTGTAGTGAGTTAGGCCTATCCGCGGTTTAAACGTCATATCATCTGTTTTCCGGTTGAGTAATGTAAATCACATAAAATGTGTCACCAGATGATATTAAAATATACATTAATTAACATTTAAATAATAATTCAATCATCAATAATTATATTTTTTTTTGTTTACAAATATGATTTTAAAAATCTGATTTCTCTAACATTATTCTTATTTAAAAGTGTTTGTAACCTTGTCAGAAAACAGTTTTAGAGTTGATTCTAGAGTGTGCTTATGTAAAAAAAACAATTTTGTACTCTATTTAAAAGTGGTTAAGTTAGCAATACTTTTACGGGTAAAAAAGAAAAGTTGAAAGGGTACCCTCAAGGTCAAATAATAAAGTCGGTGGAGATCCATAAGGTATCATTTTAATGTCTTGAATGATTGTCTTGAACCTCCAAGGTGTAAAGCACTTTGTCAAAGATGGCACCAGTCTTTACGTTCAAAGTATACTACCTTTTTGCAGGGCGCAGAGCTTCTCGAAAAGAAGAGTAGCACCACCAAATTTTGGTGCATCTAGGGTGGGCACGGTGCAATTCGGTGCGGTTTCATCCCTAAACTGAAATCGGAATTGAAAAATATCAACAATTCAGTTCGGTGTAATTCTGCTTAAATTTATTACTAGAATCGTACAGTTCGATCTGCTCCGATTCTGGTTCGGTTCTTACCGGTTTACGGTTCTAAGTGTAAATGAAGACAATATAACATTTGTTAGTAGCCTTGCTCAATTATTGAAATTGAGTTGGAAGATAGATACCAAAGAACAAATATAACAGTAAAACTGATTAAGTGGGAACAAAGAAGCAGCAAAACCAAAATATGTAAAAAATCTCAATTATAAAAGTAAGGAGCATGTCAATAAAACATAAAAACCCAAGGCATACACATGGAAGAAGCATTGCACCTCATTTCAGCAATTATTTGTATCAATAAACCCAAATGATATAAGCTAAGGAGCGTGCCAACTATAGATTAAAAAAAAACCACATAAGCTATTAACTATCTGCCAATTTGTTTGAAATGGCAGAGAACTCCCAAACTCCTCCTTTAACAGGTTATTCCCTGAAGTTTGTTGTTCAAGAGGAACTCCAACATAGCTAACTTGGTGAAACTAATTTTTCAACCTATTATACCATGTCATGTGTGTATATATATAATTAATATATACGGTTCAGTTCGGTTCCGGCCGATTCTTGTTCATTTAAAACCGGAAACTAAACCAGTTTGAACGGCCCAGTTCAATTTTTGACTCAAAGTTGACTTTTCCGATCAACACGGTTCTTTTCGATTTTTTTTCATACTGTTCGATGCGGTTTTACGGTTTAGCAGTTTTTATGCTCACCCCTAGGTGCATTGACAATAATCAGTTACGATTCTCGTCACAAATAACAAAATCACCAACAGCTTCATTATTAATAATAGACCCGTTGAAATTGATCTTCAAGTTTTGGTGCAGGTGGAATCCAATTGATAGGTCTATGTTTGGATGAGGAAATTCAAGGTTTTCTAAAAATTACAAAATGATGGAAATTAAAATGATGAAAATTTATATTTTAGGATTTGTCAATTTTCTTGTTTGGCTAACCTAAAAGAAATAAGAAAATTTAAATACAGAATTTAACGTGCATCTAGAGTCATTGATATATATATGTTAGAGATAATAGATAGAAAATGTACTAGTGGAAGCAGTGATGGTGGCAACGGAGATGGTGATGACGTTGGTGGGTGGTGGCGGCGGCAATGTTGGTGATGATAATAGATGGTGATGGTCGTGGCAACAATGATGATGGTTGGTGGAGGTGGCAGCAACAATAATGATGGTAGGTGGCGATGTCGGTAGTGGTGGCAACGACAGTGTTGATGGTGGTTGGAGGTGGCGGGGGTGACAGTTTTGATAGTGTTAATAGGTGGTGCTGGCAGCGATGGTGATGATGGTTGGTGATGGTGGCAATGAAGGTTGCGCTAGGGATGGTGGGTGTTGTCAGCTATGGTTGTGGCGGCAATGATTAAGGTAGGTTGGCATCAGTGATGGGAGCAAGAATGATGGCAACTCATAGTTGATTTTTTTTTATTTATTATTATTTTTTAAGCTTTTACTTAAGTCAAAAATGAAAACTATTTACATAGAATTTTAAACTTGGGATTTGAGTTAAGCTACACAATATCACTTATGTCTGCTACCCACACGATGAGCGAATCATCACTCTTCAATTGAAGGCGTGTGAAAACCAATACTTTGGTTCCAGCTCTGAATTCATATCTTGATTTGCCGGTGTTGAAATTTTATTCTACCTAGCCCTGGGTGGTGGATGAAGTGTAAGATTTGCCTTTTCTTCTCTATTGATAGGTTAATTGCTGGTAATTTTGAGTTTTGTAGCTAGTTAATTGCTGGTAAATACTACAATTGCTCATGTTATGTTTGCATGAGTGGTGTCTAATTTGTATAAAAAAAAAAAAAAAATTCATGGCTTATTGTAAGTAAGCATCCTTGTCCATTTAGACTTTGTCATATGAAATAATCAGCCATTACAAAAAATGAAATTTGTTTCATAAACAACTAACCAAATCATAGTCCATTGGGCTTTAAAAATTTCCGCACATGCTAAAGAACAACACACGTCATAAAAAACAATCAAAAGTAAAAGCATTTAAAAGAAAATTAAATATTTAGCCAGTGGAATTTAAAGTCCGAAGCTATTAAATATTTAGCTATTAATCAAATCGATAAAGATAATTGAAAAGGGAAAATTAGTCAATTTCCAATTCACAGACTCCATTTCCACTTAAAAACTGATTGTATTAATTTCCACTTCCTGTCTCTCCCAAATCCATCCAAGCCTTCGTCTGTCCCGCTCTCTCCTACGCTCTGCGACAATGGCAACTGCCATGAAGAAGGTCGAGAAGATCCGTCAAATAGTGCGCCTCAAGCAGCTCGTGATGCGCTGGAAGTTCATGAGCCTCCGTCGCTCTGTCGTCTCCTACGACAACTCCATCGCCCTCCCTCCTCTCGGATTAAACCGGCGCATTCCCTCCGGTTTCTTGGCGGTCTACGTAGGGCCGGAAAGAATCCGGTTTGTGATCCCTGCCCGATTCGTGAACCTCCCAGTCTTCGTCGGATTGCTGAAGAAGGCCGAGGAGGAGTTGGGATTCCAGAGCAATGGAGGGTTGGTCTTGCCTTGCGAGGTTGTGTTTTTCAAGGAGATGTTGCGGTTTCTGGAGAAAGATGAGAGTAGGTTTGGACGGTTGGGATTGGACGAGTTGTTGAAGGTGGTATCTGAAGTAGGTTTTGTTGATTCGTGCAAGGACTCGGCGAGGAATGCTGGTGCGAAGAATTCGGGTTGCCATGCCTTCACTCCTCTCCTGCAGAGATAGTAAAGTTTTTTTCTAGATCTCATTAGAACTAAATCTAAATGTCTCTAATGCCTTTGGTTTTTTTGGGAAAAGGTTTTTTAGTGATTAGGAGAATTGTAAATGGAGATTGGTAGGGATGCCAATGCGATGTGTTTTGATTGTTTTTTTTTTATTTTTTAATTTTTTTTGTTAGGGATTTTTGTTTCAATGACATCCTTGAAAGCCCTGGTTTGATGGGATTTCAATGAGATGTAGTTGTTGAACTCGTCAACTTTTTTAGGATTTCTTGTCTTTTTTCATGCATCAAGTTGTTTGAATGATGGTGTTGGTTGATAAGGCATCAAGTTGTTTCAGTGATGGTGCTAGTTGATGAAGATGATGATGAAATCTTAGAAGTTATGTTTAGTCCGAGCAATATTCTAATCTAAACGTAAAAGTTACAATGATTTGGCATTCGACTCAATTCAATTGCTTTCAATCCGGCCTCAAGTTAGTAAATTAAAGAGTGTAGTTTATCATGATTCATGTTTGGAGTGAACTTCTCTTCCTAAATTAAATTCATTAAAATGGGATGTAGATCGACATGTAAAGTTCATAGCAGCTTGTTGTGGAAGGATTCTGAAAAATATTATATAGTCTAAATTATATAATAATCAATAATCCCATTGGAACTATCTCACTTGTAAAAATAATTACTATTTCTCATCAGAATAATCTCCAGTTGGATATAAAAATAAATAATTATTCAGGTTTCTTATCACAAGAATCTCCAGTTGAATAGGGATAAGGTTTAATCAAATTGGTCATGAGGACTCGGCGTAAAATTTGGTGATTCACCATAATATTCTCTTGTAAGAAAAAACCTTCAACAAAATTAAATTGGGCATGAAATGCGAAATTCAGTTAAACATAACTTCTATCAAACATGGCCCCTAAAACAAGGGCAGATACAAAAGTAAAACAGAAGAGTGCAAAATTCGTCACTGTGTTAGAACTTCAACTAGAATATAATTAAAATAAATTTCTTTGGAACATAAACATAAAACAAGGGCATATATAAAAGTAAAACAGAAAAGTGCGACAACCATCATTGTATTAGAAATTTAAGTAAATCAGAGTTTTACCAGAAAATTAGAAGTCGAGATTAAATTCTAAAGATAGTTTTTCGACTATTTAGAAAATTAGAAAAAGCAAAATTTCAAACCATCTTCCAACGATTGTATATTATCCTGCCCACTCCCCTACCTCAAAACACATAATGAAATTACTTGTTATGACGTAGCTAAGTTGTTTAGAATAATGATAATATTAGAAAGACCAAAGAAAATATAAAGAACGGTTTACTTTTCTATTTAAGCTGAGTTCGAACTAGAGGAAGTATGAACAACGGTGGACAAAAAGATGTTCTCTTTAGACTGTTTGGAAGCCATTTTGAAAACTGAAAACAAAAAACTTAAAATTGAAAGCCAAATTTTGGAGTAGTTTTCACCTTTTAATCTTTAATTTAAAAAATAAAAAATAAAAAAACGAAATAATTATTAAATAGCACTTTAGTAGTTTAGATGAAAAGTTACACTGCAACTACAAATCACATGATACAAGTTGGCCTAGTAAACAATCTCATTTTCTTAATTATTGTTATCAGTAGTTATTTTTAAAATTTGAAGTCATAAACTTTCTCTAAAAAACCTAAGGGCTCGTTTGAAAAGTACTTTTAAATTACTAAAAACTTTTTTTTTTTTAAGAAACAATATTATCTGCATCAAGCAAGGATTGAAATATCGGCCGATATATCGATATTTTCAACTGTCGATACCGATACTGGGGGGTAAGGTCATATCTTCCCCTATATCGACGATATATCCCCGATAAGTGCGATATCTTTGATATTTTGCCGATATTCTCGATATTTCCCGATACCTATAACAAAACCCAAAAAAATTCAAAAGTTTTGAAACAAATTGAAACCCAAAAGATTTTTTGGAGGTATGTGGGTAGGGATTAGATATGTGTGAAGGCTTTTGGCAATATCCAATTCAAAAGATTTTTTGAAGTATCCATTAATTATTACTATAAAGAATCTATGCACAATGAATTGAGAGGAAATACGTGTCTTATCTGAAGAGAAAGAAATACACAAATCCAAATATTAAATTTCTGGTCAAATATATCTTTAATACCCGCAAGAAAATGATGCACATGTGTCTGAGCTTCTTGTCAAACTCTTTATCATTTAATATTTGTTTTGTTTTTTGGTTGTTTCTTTTTCACTTTTTAAAGTCAGGCAATTGGCAATATGCAATGCACTGCCCATATACCTACAAAAAAATCTGACTACCTTTATTTCCATCAAAGCCAGAAAATCATCCAAATGGAATCCATAAAATAAAGTCTGCAAAGGCCATATACCATTGTCCCCCAACCCCCAAAACTTCCCATTGTTATCATGAGAGAAGCCCTCTTTAAATCAGAGGCTATTTTACTTTTTTTGGGGCACCAAATCTTCACTTCTCTTCTTTCTCTGTGAGCTTTTCAATTTTTATTTAATCTGTGAGCTTCTTTCCTTGTTTGCAAGTTCTCTTTGACTGCTGTTTTAGGTATGTGGCTCTCCCTCATGGTCTGTATTATTTTTGTGATAGATTTGATATTGTAAGTTAATTTAATATATTTAAGTGTGATAGATTAAAAATGGCAAGTAGTAGTAGACCGAGTGGAGCTAGTGTGCCTGGTGGTCTTGATGTGGCATGGAAATATGCTCTTCCAATAGAAGGCAATAAATATGGCACAATATGCACGTTTTGTGAATCCATATTTCAAAGTGGTGGAATTACACAGTTAAAGTATCATTTGGCCGGATTTGATCCACATAAAAGTGTAAAGAAGTACCACCAGATATTAAGAATGAGGTAATTACATGGATAAAGGATAAAGAGTCTAGCAAACAACATAAGAAATCTATTGAAGAAAACATAAGATCTATAACAAGAGGGGGATACATAGGCAATAAAAGTAGCAATCTTGTTGATGATGATGATGATGAGGATGGATATGCATATCCTCCAGACATGCACCCTGCGGAGAAAGAAGATTACCTTGCTGCCATTAAAGCGTCGAAGGAAGAAGAATGGTTTAGACAAGGAGGAGTTTAAGGAATGGGAAGCAAACGATTTGCAAGGGGAGCAAGTGGTAGTAGTCAACTGCAATACTGTCGCACTCAAAGCCTTCGAGACCCACTCCAATCTCCTCCGGTACCAATGCCACACAAGAACACTAGAGTAAATAGAGAACAATCAAAGGCATGATTAGAAACTCAGCAGAGGTACTTGGAAGATACTGTAGCAAATTCTTCATACTTGAGAATGTGGCTCCTCAAAAAGCAAGTTCCCCTCGTTTCAAGAACACGATTGCTGCAGCCCAACAAGCAAGTTTTGCTTTATTCCTTATGACTTTCCTTTCTTGAACTTAAATATTCTAAACACACCAATTGCTAATATGAGTTCAATTATATTAGGTCAAGGCGTAGCCACACCATCGCCGTATGAAATAAAGCATAAATACTTAGATATGGAACACACAGACATGCAAGCCTATGTGGAAAAGGTAAAGAAAGATTGGGGCGTGTATGGATGCACCATCATGAGTGATGGATGGACTGGCTTGATGAGGTTGTCCATAATAAATTTCATGGTCTACTCAAATGGGAAAACAATTTTTTTGAAATCAGTGGATGCTTCAAATAAAACCAAGGATGCAAAGTACATCGCCAAATTGTTGAAGGATGTCATAAAAGAGGTTGGTCCGTCGAATGTTGTTCATATTGTCACCGACAATGGTTCAGCCTTCGTTAAGGCTAGAGAAATAATGATGGAGCGGTATCCTATTTATTGGACTCCTTGTGCTACACATTGCATTGATCTAATATTTGAAGATATTGGGAAGCAAGAGTCGGTGGCTAATGTTATAAATAAAGCTAGGAAATTAACCAACTACATTTACAATCATGGTTGGCTATTGGCTCAAATGAGGATCTTCTGTCAAGGAGATTTGGTCGACCTGGTGCAACTTGGTTTGCGACAAACTACATCACCATCAATAACATCTTAAATAAGAAACCTAGGCTGAGGCAACTTTTTACAAGTGAGGAATGGTATAATAGTCGATTCAGTGAATCAGAAGAAGGGAAGAGAATTGAAAGTTGAGGCCTTGATCATAGATTCTGGGATGCTATGGAATGAGTACAATCCATCTATGAGCCTTTGTATAGCATCCTGCGAATTGTTGACACAGAGGTAGTTCCTACAATGCCTATCTTATATAATATGTTTCACATAATGAAAGAGAAGATTTCTAAGTTGAAGGGAAAAAAAATGGATTATCAAAATCATCAATCGGAGATGGGATGTCACATTATCTCGTCCATTACATCAAGCTGGTATGTTTTAATCTCTTAGTAAAAACGTGCATCAATTTTTAAATTTATACAACAGGCATTAACTAATCTTCATATTTGTAGCCCACTACTTGAACCCTAGATATCAATATGAAACAGGGGTTGGCCATAATAAAGAGTTACTTTCAGGACTCTAACGCATATTTGAGAGGTTGAATCCAACTGGAGATAGAGGTTTGCAAGCATTTGGGGCCAAGGTAAGTGAACACAAAACAATGTCTTCCTCATTAAGTTTAGTTTTATGCATACTGAACACAAAACATTGTGAATCCAGGTGATAAATTTTAGAGACTATAGAAAGACATTTCACACTGAGATGACCGTCAAATCAAGAAAATCGATCCCCCCAACAAAATGGTGGAATCTTCATGGTGATTCTGCACCGAACTTGCAAAAAATTGCTATGCGTATATTGTCACAGACAACATCATCATTGGCATGTGAGCGAAATTGGAGTACATTTGCTCTTATTCACACGAAACAAAGGAACCATCTCGCATATACTAGGTTGGAAAAGATTGTTTTTTGCTATTATAATATGAAACTTAAGCTACGTGATGAAGAGGCCGAA